TACAAAAAAAAAAAAAAAAAGATAGGAAGAGTCGTTTCCGTCGCCGCGGAAGCGGAGTCGTTATCGGCTTTGGCAAATAGAATTTATTAAATAAGAACTCGCTGGTTGCATGGAGATTTTTACGGCTTTCAACGAGTTCGTAAATCGCCGGTTTATGGCAGAACGTGGTCTCGCTCGATCGTATCTCGAACAGTGTGAAATAAGAGGATAGAAGGACGAAGCTTGGTACATATCGTAGCTTCAGTGCTGTGGCTCCTGCCTCTGTTATCTTATGTCCTTATCTTTGTTTTCGTTGACGATTTAATAGGATGAAATGTGGCACAGCTTCCTGAACTGTTGCTTGAACCTGAAAAATAATAAATGAAGAGTAATCCCACAATAACAATTAAGATAGTATTCATAAAATGATGATCTTCTTTCTTCTACCTTGTATGCGTCTCCATTATGTTACAGAATTATCATACATAACGCATTTTCCCTTATTAAATAGCAGAAAAGAACCTCGATCTTCTACAAATTTCTTCAAACTAACTGTCAACTGGCATTATCGAACCACAGAAGAAATCTATGTTAAATTTCCAGATAGGTATTAGAACACTCATACTATTCTACATACTTTCATACTCTTTATCACATAAAACGCAAAATACAGATTAAAATCTAAACATTCGTAGATCCCCTATACATATACTTCAACCGAGGTCATTTTCGTTAATCGTTCTAGAAATATAATCTTCTCGCATCCATGTTGCATCGAGGTATCCGTATCTACTTGCAGGTACTACTACGACAAGAACATCATGACAAAGGTCCACGGGAAGAGGTACGCGTACAAGTTCGACTTCCAGGGCCTGGCGGCAGCGACGCAGCCCGCGGCTGCGGACCCAGCCGCGTACAAATACCAAAGCGAGTTGTTTATGTCCGGTTATGGGCACGCGAAGTTGAACCTTATGCCACCACCGGCCGCCTCCGTGTCGGTCTCCGTTCCAGGCGGCCTTTTCCAATCGGCCTCCAGCTACTGGTCCACGAGTCCGGGTGCCAACCTGTATGCGGGACACCACACGGCCTCTGGCCATGTGCCGCCTCATCTGGGCACCTATCCGCACTACGCATGACCCACCGCCGAACACTGGGGCGCCCTGGGTACGCCACGTTAACAAGTTTCTACTCGAGGGAATTTAACCGACCGCCGCCATCGCGGTCTACGTGTGCCGTCGGTCCGTGGATTCCGCAAATAGACCACACCTTTTGCGATTGCACTATCCTGCTGTAGTGGTTGGTGATGTCGTTTTATCTGTCCTCTTGCAATTTTTGTTTCTTTGATAAGTATTTATATCCTTCTTCGATTCCATTGAATTCTTCATTTTCTCATTGCCTTTGCTTGGCCAGAAAGTGGATGATGAAGTGAATAGAGAAACCTCAAAGTATCAATGTAACCTGTGAAATTTTAGACGAATATTAATTTTATGATTTTATATAACATGTAGACACGTGCAACGTGTATTAGGGAATTGAAAAGGTATGTATATGAATAATTATGTTTCGGTATCTGGGCAGATATCGCGTGTGCAGATATTAGAGAATGTTATGTGCTTATTAATATGTGCATAAGAATATGTGTGTATTTACATATTCAGATAGTTTAATTCGTGTATGTTTTAATACGTGAACGTTCTAGTATCTAACGTTTTGAAGAAATCACCGTCTCAACGGTTATGTACTATATCACGGTGTATCTAAGAAATACAGCGACCAAGTAATAACATACACAACGAGATTATATTTTTAGAAATCTCTAGGTTACAGGTAACATTGACAATTTTTTCTCTGAAGATCCAGCTCTCTTGGAGGACAGATCTCCTTTGAACAATATTAAACGAATCAATCTGTTCCGGCATATGTAATATCCTAGTATAATATTCTAATATATATTTTATCTTAACGCGTGTTAATTAAAAAAATTACGCGAATTAAACTATAAATACGTTGATTCATATAGCGCACATATATTTAAATAAACATGAAACGCAGACCTCTATCAGAAATTATTTCATGATAGCAATAGAATTTTTGCATTGAAAATTGGCAATTTTCATAGTAAAATCATGAGAAGTTCCAAACTCGTAGATTCCTGGAGCACGTGTCGAGAAGCATGTAAAACACTGTTTATTATAATATTGTCCCTTGCGTGACCACTGGACGATGCAAATATTCAGTGACACTCCCGCAAGACTGAATGGTTTTGTTCGTGGATTTGATGGAAGAGAATCCAATTCTGCTTGAGCATGATCGCTGTTCCCTGAAAAATAGAACAACGTTGAAATCTTTATCTTTGGTCGTAATCTTTCCTAAGTTTATTGCTACTGAAGGATAAAATTATAATTCTACGCAAAACAATGCTCGAAAGCTATGATTTTACTATCAAATAAAATACTTGCTCACGGTTTAAATAATCTAGCGCAGTTGATATTTAAGTCATGAAACTTTCCGTTTCATCCGGCATCAAGCAGCACGTGGACAGATTAAACGATCAAACTAATCAGCAATATCATAGTCGCTGTCACGACCAGCCGATCTGGTTCCTTAGCAGCAAACAGCGACCAATTTAAATTACTGACGCGAAACTGACGATCACGCGAGACCACTCTACCCCCAAAAAGCTTTCGTTTACGACCGACGGTGCACTCAAATTATTGTAAGAACGTTGTACATACAATATAATGGATTACGTAAGTACAGGGTACGTTCACAAGACGATTCTCGTCAGTCGTTTTATCTCGACGATATCCAGTACCATCATTGGCAGTAAAGTTTGTATAATACTATGGAAATATAATTTATATCTGAATTACTCAAGTTTCATTCCTAAACACAAAGAATTTTCGTTTTCTATTATCTATCTAATTTTGCTAGAAGTTATTACGAATAAAACATAGTTGAATTCCATTGTAGATTTTACAAGAATTAGAAAAACTTTAGACCACTCAAAGTATCCATCGTTCGATACATAATTTTTTGATTGGTTATTCATAACTTACTGATGTCATAATTTCATATTATTTAATCAAATTTCCAATTTATTAGAATTATCATTATTTAGAATATATAACTGTGAATTAATATCTGTGGAAAGATTCTACCTTTCTATATTCTAAATAATAATAATCGTTAGTAATTTTTATATCACTTGAGATCTTAGTACGTAGTTAATTTTCTAATACTAAGATCCAAGTAGCAGCCTTCCAATGTAATTCAAATGAATTGTAATTTCTTCACTCCAAACATTGAATTCTAGAATCTTTGATTCGTTTTCAACAATCATGCATGATAACGCCGCGATGAACCGCGTGTCGAGAATTATCCTGTCCGAAAGGACGTCGCCTTGTACGCGAATAACTAACCGGCGTACTTCCGCAGAGAAACGTCGGTGTTTCCGACTGGATGGAATCGAACATGCGCATTTTAACGAGGAATATCTCCGTACAGATGCACGATCGAGCAATTTCGAGAACGGTTCGTCGAATCAACGATGATGACAATGAGCCACACGCGAGCATCATGATGGTCGACGATAATCGAACATCCAAATAAGCTTGATCGTTCTTAGTGAGAAATGCTTACATGTTCGATTCGGGTGAAGAGCAATGCGTGTATTATAAACTCTTTTAACTTATTTGTTACATAACGAAAATGTAGATAGAGGAACCGCATGTCGTCGTTCAGAAGAAAAATTCATCGCGAGTTACGTTGCTCGCGTTGTTGGCGCGGGTACAAAGGACATGCTGCGTTCATTCAGCGACCAAACACTATACATTTATACGTGTAATAGAACTTCATTTGTCTGAACTTCATTTAGTCGAACGAGATTATAATTAAAATCTTCTTTGCTATTTAAACGTGAATTCTAATTACTTATGTGAGGAAAAATAAGTTAGTAGAGGATCGGTAAACTTCTATCGCTTAATGCAATAAGAGAGAAAGATCTTAGGAGCCTATAGTTAAATAGTCAACGAGAGTCTAAAATTTTATTTGGTCGACGTAGATTTTAAAATCAATTTCGTCGATATAAACGTGAAGCTTGCTGGACAAAAGATATTCAATGTCTTCCTTCTATTTCAATGGAAGGCTTTTTAAATTTTTAAATATTTCTTCACTGTCTTAGATCGAACGACGTTTTCTACTCGTAGTGATAAGTTAGTAAGTAGAGTAAACTCCTAATCGCTCTCAGGTTCAGATAAATAAAGTTCTATCATTACAAGCTTTCCTTCTCATGATCTTTGTGCGATCACGATTTCACAACGAAGTACGACGCGTGTTTCAGTGCCGTGGAAAAGACTAAACCGCGAGCGACCAACGAAATTTCTACGAGGATCGTGTGCAACCGTGAAGTCTCATTTCTAATCCAGCCGGTATATGTATAGAAATATGTCTCTCTTGATCCTAGTATGACTCCTCTGAGATTATTTATTTATAATGGTGATAATGGTACTCACAGATATTTATCAAAGTGAATATTTTCAAAAAATAACATTCCAAACAGGCATACGTTCGCACAATCCCTGTAAAAGTGAGAAGTTTAAACGTTTTTCCAAGATTTACAGACTCAATGATTACAAACCAGTTACATAACGGTTTACTCACATATATTGAAAATTCATTTTCTCAAGAACAAGGAATTATTGAAAGCCAATATTCCTAGCCTTTCCGGAGTTCATTTTTCTCGAAAATCTGCGCATTACCAACGTCAATGATAACATACAATCGATGTCGATCTCAGAAGTGATTCCAGAATCGGCATAACGTGTTGTTCTTTGCCACGAGCCAAACGCTATTAGAGAAACCATTAAACGAGCGACAAATCCCGGCAGAACATAGCACATCCATCAATCGAACGGAAGCTCGAGTCGCAATTATCGAGATTGATAAAGTACAACGTTGAGTCATATCAGAACCGAACGTACGAAATGCCGAGCCGTGCTCACCACGTCGACTCTCACCGATCAATCGAGAGATGCGGTCGCTCTATCTATGTACAAAACATAGGGGTAAGTCTCCAATGTACGCAAATCGTGGATCCTCAGCCGGCAAAACTAATAAAACTGAATAAAACGAATAAGATGAATAAATTAAAGAGAACAGGTAGAACAAGGAAAGAAAAAAAAAGACAAAAATAAGTAAAAAAAAGATGGTTCCACGAAAGAGAAGATCCGGCGGCCGGTGACTTACCCCTTACTGTGGAAAGGTGTACCTCTGTCGAAGAAGCGAGTAACTTCTTAAGTCGTATACTGTATCATACCATTCGTAAGACGTAAGCACCCATAGAATTACTCTAACGATTTAGTCGTAACCAAAACCTGTCGAGCGTTCCTCGGTTTCGACCAAGGGGATCGTTCTCTCCGGGACGAGAAAACGACGCTCGCCCCGTCCTCTTCGTTTTTTCCAAAGAAACTAAAATAAGAAAAATATATATATATAGATATATATATATATATAAAGTAACGAAGTGAAATAAAACAATGGGAAAGAGAAAAAAGAAGAAAAAAATGAAAAAGAAAGTGACTCCGTGGGACGTCGACGGGCCTCTAATGTAGATAGGGTGTTTTCATGTGTAGCGTAGGCGTGTAGAGAACATAGTCTTAGCGCGAGAATGTACATCAGAATGTATTTCGATTGCAATGTGTCCTCCTGTGTGACTCTATTGTACGTGTACGTATATGTATGTGTGTGCATACCATGCATGTATGCGTGGGAGAGAGAAAGAGAGAGAGCGAGAGAGAGAGAGAGAGAGAGAGAGGGTGAGACTGGGAAAAGGAAAAGAAAATCGCGTACGATACCACGGATGAGTGGAGTAAGTGGTAGAAAGAGGAGTAGGCGTGATTCGCACAAACTGGAACACTGGGATGATAATAATAACAATGACGATGGCGACGATGACAATGATGGATGAGAGAGGGCGAAGGGTGTTTGACACTAGCATAGACCGCGTTAGGCTAGGTAGATAAGCGACCCCTTCGAGAGGAGAAAAAATGAGTTTCGTCAAGAAAGACGAAAAAATATCGTGTAATACGGACCACGATGTAGCAAGGTTGTGAAAATTTGTCAAGAATTCAAATAATTCTTAATGTCAATTCGAGGGAAGAGAATTAACAGATATATCACACGTGGACCTGAAATCTTAACCCAAAGCTATGTGGAAAAAATTGCTAATACAGAACTGTTTAAAGTATATTAAAATAATAATTTATACTTCCACCATAATTTCTCTTTCTAGATTATCAAAATAGTAAAATAATAATTAGCTGGAATACCGTTAAACCTGGTTCATATTACTCGAATTACCTGAATCCAAATCACTCGAATTAAGATAGATTGACTAATATGAACGAGGTTATTAATCCTGAGTCATTTTCATTTTATTTTGCGTAAATCTAAAATATGCAATTATACAATCCTAAATGGGTCCGTAGTCCTAGTAAAAAGAAGTCTCATGATGGAAGATAAAGTGGAAGTAAACAGTAACCTCGATATCAATTAACTCGTAGATTATTAATTATCTCCACCCAAAATTGAATATTAATAATAAATAGCTTCAGCTTTCCAAGCTCTGCAATTATGCAAAGGTCCATAAACAAAGTGAAAGTGGCACCTCGTATCTTCTCCTTATAAGATATCAATCATTGCAGCTACTCGATGGTCTTGATTTACAACCTCGCCATATCGTGGCCCGTAGGTCGCGAGAAACAGTGGTAGCAGAAAGATGGAATCGTGGAACGGGACATAGATGAAAGAAGAGCCGAAGCAGTGTAAGCAGAAGAAGAGCAGCAGGGGGGTGGGAAGGGGCGCTGTTGTTGTTCTTGTTGTCGTGCGCTTGTATTAAAGTCGCCATGTTCTAATTAAACGTGCCGACGGGGTTGTATCAGTCGTCGGCAAAATCAATGTGACTTTCTCTCGTATCTGTGTATGCACACATATACATGTGCACACATATATACATAGCAACATGGAGAAGTTCGCGTAACGAGTATGTTGCTTGTAAGTTAGGTTGACTACGACGTTGTTGAGAGGAAGAGAGACATAAAGGTTCGTATCGCTGCTCCCTTTCTTCCTTGAAGCGTAAACGAAACCTGGAAAAAAAGAAAAAGGACAATAAAGGAAAGAAGCAGACACAAAGGATAGCACTGTGAAACGAGAACCGGATTGAGAGTCGTAGGAGGAGGGTTAGATAGAAAATAAAAAAAAAATTGGAAAGAAAAAAGAAAGAAGAGGAAGAAAAAGGGGGAAAAAGAAACGTTAGCAACACACGGTAGGTCAGTCTTGGTTGTCGGCGGTTGGCGAATTGGTCGGGTTGCCATGGAGAACGCTGGGTATTCCCTGGATTCAGGCCCGCCCCAACGGGAAACCCCCATTCGGGAAATTCGTGGCGTCGCCGAAGCTGCCGCGGTGCCGGAGGTTTAGCTCGGCTCGGCTAATCGATTCTGCTACCAATCAGCGCCCGCGCCGTTCCTCCTCGTCCTCGTCCTCGTCCTCATCCTCCTCGCGCCGCTACCTACAACATCTCTCGACTTCTCACTCGACCCTTTGTGTAGGGGTCTCTCTACACACCCGCGAAACTCCTCCCTTCTCTACCACGAGATTCCATCATAATTCTCTCTCTTTCTCTCTTTCTCTCTCTCTCTCTCTCTCTCTCTCTCTTTCGGTGTGCTCCACCTACGTGTGTACCCTTCACCATACTCGTGGTACCACTTTTACCTAAGCAGCCCAACCGTCTGATCCCTATGTACGGTTATTATAGTGAGTGAGGAGCTGGGTCTTGGATAGAAGGGCTGACTGAAGGCTGGCCAATCGACGTTTTAACCTTTTCCATTTCTTGGCCTTTCTCTTCTCTCCTCCAAGGTGAAACGTTTCTCAAAGTGTTTATACATATGCACTTGGTAAGGTTGCACTATGGGAGATTGAAAAATGGTTGGTTGATTTGTAGAAGGAAAGAATGGTTTAGAATTTACGTGTATTTAAAAGGAGGTTAAGTGAGTTGAACTAAGTTAGTAGAAAATTGTTGTTTAGATTGCCTAATTTTTTTATTAGAGATAGGGAAAACTTTTATCAAATACAGATTTAAATTTGAAAGAAAAACCGTTGACCGGTGTTTAGAAAGTCGTTGTAAATATCAAATTCAAATTTAAAAAACATTATTAATAGTGGTAATACATGAAATATCTTGCATTATCTTAACAATCAAATGAGGATATTAAAATTATCAACAATATAATGGCGTTCGTAGAACGAAATCAATGCAAATAAGTTAACATTTCCGCATAAATTTGAGCAAAATATTATTTCCTCGTTTAACTTACATTTATACAAAAACGATTACACTTATTTCAATTTTATAACTATTTATACAATGTAAAGTTAACTTACATCCTTTTTAAAATTCCAGATATATAAATGTAGAAAGCATGATCCTCAAAAGCCATTCCATTTTTAAAATATGTACCTAAGAAACACAGAAATCCAATTTCTCAGAACCAACATCGAAATATCAAACATCCCTACTAACACGAACTTCTAAAATTTGTTTTCCCCAAAAACTAGGTCCTTAAATCTTAAAGGTTGTCGAACTTCGCTCCAATATATGGTTTTATTTGAAAAACTCACGAGTAATAATTCTGTATTGTTTGAAAAAAAAATGGAAAAATATTATTATTATCGATGACTCATTAATTATAATAATTAAAATGACTTTGAGAACGTGTTTTATTATATGTAAGGTATATAAAGACATCAAATTGTTGAGAGATCTCGTTCCGGATTAACGACAGGTAACCTGCGCCTGGAGAACCTTGAACTATCACCGATGTTTATCAGACCGCCTGGGTGTATGAAAATGTGCAACATTATTCACAGCGAAAAAGAAATTACATAATTAATCGTAGAAATTCTTAAAACTTTCTAACCGACGATATAATCAAAATGAGTTTGAAACACTTGGCTACCGGTAAGATTATATTAGTGAAACTTGATATTAATATAATTGCAAAATAATTCCTTTTATACTATCGTTCTGTAGGATCAGTTGCCCCGCCCATTGTATCTGGAAAAATACGTTTGTATAGCATGCGATTTTGTCCGTATGCCCAAAGAATTCATTTAGTACTTGACGCGAAACATATACCGTAAGTAAACTAATTTTTCAAATTATAATTTAACTTTGAAAATTTTGTTTATATTTTTCACACATTGCAAACAGATGTTTAATTCATATTTTCTGTTTATTATACTTTTTAAATGCTTTATTTTTGTTTATGAATGCAGTAACTATTGTTTATTTATTTTTGTAATAATCTCAAAACCTCCCTTCCTCTCATACAAATACATATACATAGATATGCACTAAATTGTTTATTTTATTGTAATATTATTCCCTAATTACAGACATGATGTTGTTTATATTAATTTGACAAATAAACCTGAATGGTTACTAGAAAAAAGTCCTTTGGGCAAAGTTCCTTGTATAGAATTGGAAGGAGGAGAAACATTATATGAAAGCCTTGTGATTGCTGAATATTTGGATGATGCATATCCACAAAACAAACTTTATCCTGGTAATCCCCTTGCTAGAGCTAAGGATAAGTTGTTAATTGGTAGATTTAACTCTGTTATAAATACTTTGTATAAGGTATTTATTTCTCATATATACAATGTACTTATGCAAAATACAAATATTATGTACAACTAGAATACAAATATTTTTATTTTAGTTATATGTCAGTACATCTATAGACAGAGACATATTTGATGATGTCTTATCAGAATTGGGTCTTTTTGAAAGAGAACTTGTATCAAAAGGAACACCATTCTTTCATGGTAGTTCTCCTGGTATGTTAGATTTTATGATATGGCCATGGTGGGAGAGATCTGATGTAGTTAGAGTTTTACGTGGAGATCAGTTTACTATACCACGTGATAGGTTCAAGAGATTGGTAAGTTACAAACATATTATGTCAAATGTAATATAAAATTATCCTATACAAATTAGGGTATATAAACAACAAATTTTTCTTTTTTGTTACCTATACAATACTAGTTGGAATGGAAATCTGCCATGAAGGAGAATCCTGTTGTTCGAGCTAGTTACTTAGATACCGAAGTACATGCTAAGTACATGCGAAGTCGTCGTGCTGGAACGCCACAGTACGATTTAATTACTGCTTAAGTTAATAACTTCTAATTTGTATCTTCAAATATATATGTTTATAAATAATATAATATATTTAGAAATGAAACATTACTCGCAGAATGTTGCTAATAATTTAATGATTATCAGTTTATAAATGTTGTGAATTTGTTGTAAAACTAATATAAACATAACTTTCCATTTCGTTAACTATTTGTGTAATAATCATAACAAATCTATTTTATATTATGAAATATATCTACGTGATTTAAATAAAATATATTGGCATATTAATCTTTCTGGAAATTACCATATAATTTGATCATAAATGCTAATTAAATTTTGAATATATATTTATAAAAGAAAGTTACTATTGCTAAAACCTATCTTCCAAAGTAACTGTTTCTATGTAAAGAGACATTTTTTACATTAGTAATATTGCTATTGTAATACAATATACAATATTTATAGAGAAATCTGCTATATTAGTAGAAAATTTGAGCAGCATTAAGAAATTTTTTTCTAACAGTACCCAATAAGTATAAAATTACAAAAAAAAATAATTATAATATAAAAACTGAATAAATGTCTAATATATTACATTAATGACATTTCTTAAAATATGCATGATTTAGGAATGTTAATTTATATCGTTCCATAAAATAATACATATAAACCATAGAGCAGAAAACATGCAAAAATCATGCTTGCTGCTACCATGAATGACTTTGTATTTTGTCTCCTTAAGCTTTTTAATTTCTCTTCATTTTTTACAAGTACCTCCTGAATTTCTTCCAGTTTTGACTCTAATTCCTCACGAGTTTCCATTGTGAGCAATTTCGTCTTGAGTCTTTTTTTCAACACATCCACTTTGTACATGGATTCATTTAATGTATCTTCTACCTTCTGTATCTAACATGTATACAAATATGTTTAAAAACCAGAAGCATAGGTTAAGATAGAATAATTTCAGAAACTAAAGTATAAAATATATAAAATCTATTATCTTATTTTTACATATACCTTTGTCATAATCGTTTCATCCTGCGTCATTTTGACTTTAAATGTATGTATGTCCTTTTCTGTTATATAAAACACAAATTATCAACATCTCAAATTCGTATTCTGAATTTTAATGTTACCATGTGTTAGATGCATGTATTCTCACTAACTTGCTGAATACAAAATGGCGGTACAAACCAAGCTTACAGATATCAATAAGATAAATTACAAAGATAATTTTTATGGTTTTCTACTTACAAGTATTTAATTTTCAAAGAATTTCAATAAGAAACTAAAGAGCAGTAAAGTTACATGCACCTTTTTTACGTTTTATAAAAGTATAATTACGTCTTATATTGTTGCGATTTTTAAAAAATGCATACACACTCTCTTATTTAAATATTTATGGTATAAAAGCAAGGAAAGTCATAATTAATATTAACACTTTCTGATATGAAGTACAAATTTAATCTTCATCAGATTATAAATTCATGAATTTTATTGTAATTTTACAAAATTATATTTATCATAAAATTATGCATGTAAATATGTATATATATGTATATATTAAATCTACTTTTCACGAGAGAATTTATAACAAAACTAAAACATTCCACAATCATATATAAATCATGAAATTTAATAATATATTTACACCTAATAGGTAAATGTCGATATAATGAGTACTATTATTATGTATGAAGTGAAAGTAACATAAATATAAGGATTAGAAATTAAAAGTGCTAATGAATTATATAAGTACTACTTAAAAAATGATTTAATTTTTAGTGCACGTCATATTACACACATAACAGTTTTTTTTGCATTTCCACTCATCATCCCATACATACATTGTATTTATAGTACTTTCTCATAACTTAAATAAAATTACTCCACTTTCTCGGTTATTTCTTTTTTCACATATAGATGAAATTAAATCTGTAACATAAAATAAAATAATATAGTAGAGTAACCGGATATATTCAATTTAATCAAAAAGGTATTACATGATAATTACCTGCAAAGTGATTGTGGTAGAGAGGAAATAATAGGTCCATATCCTTGGGAGTTATCATACAATTCAAACAATGGAGCAGCTACTAACTTATAATTTTTAGGTACTGCAAATAGAGCTAAAAAGTTCAAAAATAATTATGCCAATTATTAAGTCTTACTTTACTTCTCAATGTAACAATATATTTCTGTCCTTTATATGCTACCTTTTTCTTGCAGCTGAACAAGAAACAACCTCTTGTGTTCCTTTGGTTTGGTAATATGTGGTGGTACATAAGGATACTGAGGTGGTTCAAAATTTGGTCTCCACCAATTTCCTATGGTATCTTCTATCACCCATTCTTGTTTAACTCCATCTTGACGTCCAAAGGTCTAAAAGTTATTTCGATATTATAACATCAATCATGTCAACTTTGCTACACTTCATAGACATTAAAATACAATCTTCTTCGTTCAGTCCACTAAGAACATGGTTACACAAATTTGTTTACATACTTAAAACGGCTGTATAGTCTTGTTAGTTCGGCTAACAATTAACTTGATCACAGAGATGCCTTAATATGTTCCTGTTAGCTTCTATATAATCAGTAATACAGGCCAAAAGTATTTATTCAAATACTTTCAGTTCCTTTTACTTACAGATACCTAATTAAATGAAACAGCTGTTGTACATACATTTATCATTTTAATTAAAAAATTGACAAATGCATAAATATAAGCTCAGCGAACCGCCTATTTGTTATGTGACGAAGAATCACGGTCCTACGTACTTCAATTATTTTCTAGCAAGAAGTTTTAGGACTAAACGTTATTTGATACAATTTTCTCCGTTTGTCTTTTCAATGAATTACAACAAAAAATCCATTAATGGTATATACAATACAATCTTCTTGTCATAATATTACAATCTTCACATCTTGCTTCTTTTATGTCTGAGTTAACATGTATGACGAGTGACACAAGAACAATGTTCTTAGCTAACCATGATATGTATAATGTAACAAGATATAATTTCATTACTATAAACATTGAAATGTCCGGGCATGCAGCGCACTAAAAATGTAAATGCTAATATAAGTAAAAATTCCCTATTCTGAGCTACAGGCCCGGTTACATAAGTTCTACAAATGTTTGGAAGATTAATACAATCGATTCTTGAACAGTGTTACAATCTAACATATCAAAGTGCCACTCCTAGCTACCTCGTAAGGTAGCATAAGGCGTCGTGCTAACTGTTACCTCTGTAAGGAGCCGTTTTAGGCCCTCTACCTCGTCTTCTCCTGCATTTAGCTCTCCTCCGGGTCTACAAAACAAAAGTACAAAAGTTAACAAATATTTGTATATACTTTAATAAATGTGATGCAATTAGATATCCTGATATCTAAATGAATTTTCCTCTATACCTAATGAAGATAATACACATACTTACAATTTGAAGAATGTTGTTCCCAACTGAAGTAGCAGGACATGTGGCAATCCATGTTCATGCACCAACAAAACCCCTTCAACACTGCGACGCATTCCAATTTTATCGAATTCATCTCGCATACGCTGAAACCTTGCTGGTACAGACGGATCTTTCTCGAAGAGTGGCTCTTTTGTTCCAAATGTATAGTTTGTCAAAGGATATCTATGATAAATGAGTTTTATTTTTGTGTTAGGTTCTTACTTCTTATGTAATCCTTCAGTAACTAAATCCAGTCTCTTCAACATCACTTTCACAAATAATAATATTACAATATATAACCATAAAGATTATACAGGTACTCACAATGCATTAGATAGTTTTGAGCATATAATTTTGTCCCCAAACTTTATATTAAGTTCCACATTTTTATACAAGACAAAAAATATCATTTTTTTCATGCAAGCAAGAGGAATAACATACAGATTTATAATATAAAAATAATTACTTTATATGTAACATTTTTCATATTTAAAAAAAAACAAATTTCATATTTAAGAATGTATATATACAATGAACAAAAAAATATATATAATAAAATTATGCACAAGTATATGTAGCAATTGATCAAATTTACACCCGTATGATTTACAAAGCATGTATACAAATACAGCATTGTTCAACAGATTATCAAGGTATTTCTGTTTGCATACTAAATTTTTATATGAAAACCACATATGTTGTGATTACTTACTGTTAATTATGAAATACAAAATATCAACTATAATTGATGCATATAAAACACTATATTACTTATAACATTACATTTTACATTAGTTATAAGTAAGTTATATCAAATGTAGTCATATCGTATGTTTAGAAATACATAATACATATATTTATGCTACTCTTATATTTCTCAAATTTTTTCCTATCACATATGTATATGTTGTGATTTGTAAATTGTATGCTAATAGACCTCAACAGCTTCTTTTTTTTTTAAAGAAATATCTTGTAATACTTTGTGATATTATTAAATACTATATAATCATAAATTTGTCAAAATATCAAAATGTAAATAAGTAATTAAAGTACTTATACATATATAATTAATTCATTACATTATATGAACTGAGTTTATTAATCACTTATAAATATCAATTGATATTTGGTGATATGTTTGAAAATTTATAATAAATGTGTTACATTTTCTAATATATTATTTCATTTTTGAAACATTATCAATATAACGCATGAATGAAGGATATAAATCTCAGATGCATTGTGCAATATTCTACTAAAACTTATTCATTTTAGAAAAAATTATTTGAAACATTCATAATATCTATGCATATTATGCTATTTCTTAAATTAAACACTAAGTATAATTATGAACTATCTGAGACAAATACATTCATAATAATATAGATATACAAAAATGTGTTATACTGCAAAATTTATCTTACATAAAATATGAAAGGCCAATTTACTAATAAAAAAATACAAATATCTGTAGTTTTAGCTATCACAGCTTATATAAATCTAAGATAATAGTAGTTTGATTTGCGAAATTATTTTATACATTTTTCCTTTTTATACACAACGAAATAATTTGTAGTATACAAGTAGAAACAATGAACAGTGACGATACAACTGTTTTCAAGTATATACGCATTACAAATAAACAGTCACATTATTACGGTGACTGTAAAAATAACAGAACATGTTTCCGTACGCAAACATACATTCAATGTATAAAGGATACCAGCGTACATTGCATACGGTGGCTACAACTTTTATAAATTCATAAATATAAAAGAAATTAAATTTGTCTTTAGCTTCATCATAATTAGAAGCTTATACCTTGTGCAAATAAAGCACAAAAGGTATAACTTTATGTCATATTTAGAAATTTTAAGCAAATAATTACTGATTTAATTCATAATTACAAGGATATATATCTTATTCATGGTGCAAAAAAAAATGCTTTATCATATCGACAATTTCACACTACATTAAAATAGTTGGTTATGTTTTACGATAGCGAATAATAATGAATTATTGAATAGTCAATAAATCGATACAATGACGTGGATAAGGTTATTGCTTAAAATTTCCGTGAGTACTTAACGGAAAGATGAACAGCCGTCTCATGGTTGTACCATGTAAGATGCATTGAAAGGTGTTAGGAACATAATTTTAATTGCTAGCGTCTCTTAACCGGCCATAGTTGCTCTACAGGAGAGGCAGTCAAAACATTAACTCTAAAAAATAATGTAATTGAGTCACATACTGATTATCACTTACAAATTAACTGTCCTGTTGATAGTTACAGACTGATTCTGTACCACTTTCCCTTCAAAGGAACTGTTACTAGCTCTTCTTGGCCAACCACTTCCTTTAACTTGAGTTGTTGCCATCGCCATTTTTCCTCGTACCGCGCTCCGCAATCCTAACACACCAACATCTAGCAACGGAATCGACTACTTCGGTGCTTCGTGTCGTGCCTTCTCGAATATCCCGAATCTCAAAGCTGTTTCGCGGGCCAACCAGTGTTGCCAAATGTGTAGATTACCCTAATCCTCCTTTATACTCGATATATCAAAGATATGTTTATAATAAAAATATTGATACTAATCATAATTATCTAGTAATATTAAACAGATATTATATAAATATTTTTAGTAATTTATTACGTTAATACGATAATAATTTAATAATTATATGCTAACCATTATAAATTTATAATTTCACTGACGAGTCGGATCAAGAGAGATAAATAACACCATGTGACCAAAGTTTAGGGGAAAT